GTCAGGGGAGGAGCACAGCAGCCGCGGGAGGGGAAGTGCCTGGCCGGCAGTATTTTTCCCGGACATGTTTGGCTTTTTGGCAATTCCCCCCGGAGGGGGTTTGATTACCAAAAAGCCTGACATGTCCAGGAAAAACCGGACGTATGGTAACCCTAGCTTGAGTGTATCAGAAAGATATACTTTCCTTAAGTAAGAGGTTCATTTTAGGAATTCAGTAAATCTTTTTACATTTGTTTGCCAGGGGCCCTTTCTCCATTAGAAATGTTCAAGAATTTACAGTTTTAAGAACCTGTGCCACTTGAAGGAGGTTCATTTAACTTGCAAAAAAATATTAGCAACATATGTAAGGACCTATATATTTATCATTATTTAAAAGTCAAGTAAACAAATTCCCTGGATTGCATTTTATTAGAATAGAGTGGTATTTTTGGTATCAATATAGGTATGAACCAGGAAGAAAAGTTGACCAGTTCTGGTACCAAAAAAAATTATAAAATATAACACATTCATCATGTAAAATATACCTGTAAGGTGTCACTCTCTTTATCTCAAGAATTGAGCTGGTTCCTCTGGGCCATTTTTGGTTATTTAAGAACACCTAGCTGTTTAACTTTGCAAAGGATTTTCTTAGGAAGAAATCTTACCTTCTTAGCAGCCTAAGAGTGTTCTTAATTCCCCCAGCTTTTGACAGAAAAAAGAAACTAATGTAAATACTAGATTGCTGGCAATGGTGTTTTACAGCCGCTTGCTTCAACATTCTGCCCTAACTTAAGCAGAGTAAAGTTTGTAAGCTTACTATAGTAACAGCAATTTAACTATTACCAGTTTGGTTTTTAAAAACGAAAACAAAAAACCCACCCTGCTGACTATACACAAGGTTTTCCTCTATATCCTTCATTGCACTCCGATCATTGTATTTTCTGTGAGAGATCTAAATTTCCATTTGACTCTCCTTACACTTACTTGGTGTTATAGAGGATCCTGATTATATTAAAAACCACGTAATCAGCCATCTAATATTTGACTAGAGAAAAACACTTCGCAAAATAAGTGTTTCAAAATGTTGGGCAGCAGAGATCATTTCACAATAGATGTTCTCAACTATCCAGGTTTGCAAAAGCAGGTTTTATATTTTAAATTCATTTTTTCTGGTGCTGTTTTTGCACTTAAATAATGTAGGCCTTAATCCTGCAAAGACTTACAGACATGCTTAACCTGCCTAATAAGAATACTCCTATTGACGTCAATGAGACTGCTTACATACATATGCCTTTGCAGGATTGAGGCCTTAAATGGTTTTGTTCTGATAGTTTAAGATTGCCCTGCATAGTCCTCAGTGAGGATAGCTTGCAGAGAGCCAGTTGCAAGATCACAGCTAATTTAAGAGTAAGCAAGGCTAGCAAATGCTGACTCACACTTCGTATTGATCACTTCCAGAACTCTCACCTGGTAAGGGACTGGAAGAGACTAAGTCTGCATGTGTCCAAATCCCTGGCATTTGGATTCCCCAGTTTGTTCACCAGATATATAGAAAATAATACAGAACATATGTGTAGGTTAGCAAGGTTACAGCTTGTGTTGCAATCATACAGATTTCCTGATTTTTTACAAAATGCAAGATGCAGTATCTCAACCTACTACTTGCGGCTTAGTCAATTTATTTCTTTCAACCAGAATGCAATAGGTACCACAGCTGACACATGAGAAAACTGTCATAAACACATCAGACCTGTGAGACCATTGTATTTTAATTTGAAATAATACTATTTTCCACTAATATAGTTCATTGCATTGGAGGATCTCAGGACACTTTACAAATTTTAACTAGTTAAACCTCTCCTATGGACTACAACAAATAAGTATCAGCAAGATTCCTGCAGAAAAGAGCCAGGTTTGGGTTGTTGTTTTTTTTAAGTGCTGCTGGTAGTGTGAGGTATTTTAAGCACACACATTTAAAACATTCAAGAATAATTACATTGATTTTGAGTGTCAAGGATCTCCCCCTCTGAAGCTCTACCCATAGAATCCTGTCTGACATCACAAGAGGAACACATGCAGCCTTCAACTTGCATTGTAAAGAAATCATTCATTTGTAAGGATTTTTTTATCCAATCTTTTTAATGGTTTTTCAGCAATAAAACAAGTTTACACTAATTTTGTTTCTATCTGATTAAAATAATAGTTTTAATACTTTATGTCCCTTTCACGCATCATCTCTGCTCACCTCTCTGCATCTAACCTTGGGAACAACAGTACAGGAAATTCCTTGTTGGTCTTACTGAATGTGCAAATCCAAATTTTGCTTTTAAATTATAAGTTGGTTTTGCCATAAACATGCAGATATTAAATGAAATATTTGAGTCTTAAAATATTTATTTTTAAGGGAGTCCAGATCAGGTATCATTGCAGTCAGTTTTCTTGTCAGATGCACAAGAGTCAGTCTTATCCACCTGTTTATGCCTTCCAGGCAACTAACCAAAATACACTGCCTATATACTGATAGGGAACCAAACAGCTGTGCATTTTAAGCAAACGTGCATATCATGATTTTTTTTTAAAACAATATTTACAAAAGGAAAATCATACACTATATTTTGATAAAAGGGCATCATTGTCTGCTTCTCCAACATACTGCAGAGGATTCAGTAGAGAGTTATCAAGAAGGAAGAGCATGGAATGATGCAC